GGGGGGGGGGTCCCCCGCGGCTTGCGCCCACGAACTGGGCAGCTTTGGAAGTCCTGCAGGAGGGACGTCCCCGACCGGGGGAACGGGCCCGGGGGGCGGCATTTAAACCCGCCCTGCTTAAGGCCCCCCGATGCCGTTGGCGCCCCACATTCCGTGGCCGCTGCACCCTGCGGTGGGAGCCAGCTGCTGCGTCCCGGAGAGTCCGAGCAGCCCGGAGGCTGCGCACGCGTCGGAGGGGGCGTGGAGCACTTGTCCCTCTGGGGGCGGCGGCGGCGGCGCAACCGCGCGGCCCGCCGTCTCCAGCGCCGCGGCAACCGCTCTTGGATTGTGCAGCGGCACTGCTGGTACGGGGGCGGGGATGGCTGAAGGGCTGACCAATTGCTGGACGCGCGCCTCGGAGCGAGCCACCTCGCCGGCCGTCAGCACGCCGGCGGTGCGAAGACGCTGGAGCAGATCGGTCGGGCTTGTGGTGTCGACCATTGAGGCGTGTCCGGGTTGTGCGGGCGCGGTGGCGCAAGACGCCAAGCCAGTCGGCACGGACGCCAAGCCGGCGAGGGGCAGATCGTAGGCGGCGGCAAAGGATCGCGCGACAGAGGAGGCGGCGGCGGTGGCGGCGGAGGTGGCAGCGGCGGCGGCGATGGCGGCGGAGTGAAGGGCAGCGGACCGGTGCTGCTGCAGCTCATCCCTTGGCGAGATTACCTGGGGGCTGAAGTACACGCCAGGAATCGCTTCGTGGAGGGGGATGCCGATGACGTGGGAGGGCTCGGTGGAGGTCAGGGAGGCCTGAGAAGTGATCCGCTGCCCTTGCGTCCAGAGGGAGGCGCTGGAGACCGGCTCGTCGAGGGTGCGCCCCGTCTCGGTCAGTGTGGCCGGCAGGGTGGGCGGTGTCATGTGCATCACGCCCGCCGTTGGCGCCAAGGCGAGGGGGGGCGGGTGGGCGTGCGGGCCCAGCAGCGGCGCGAGGGTGCGCCCGATGCGAAAGGTGTACCAGCCGCACGAACCGTGCGGAAACTCGCCGAGGCGATGGAGCGGAGCCGACGTTGCAAACTTCAGGATGACAATCGGCGGACCGATGCAGTTGATGGTCTGGTTGACGACCCTGTGCGGCGGCCAGCCATCTGCGTCGGGACCCTCGTTCCAGCACCCGCCTCCGTGCTTGTTGGTCGGCACGCAGCCTGAGCAAACCACCCGCAGGTGGGAGGCGTTGATCTGCACTCCTCTCGCTCGGCATGTGGTGCAAAACCTCTCTCTGAACGAAGGGCCAGCCTTGATCGGCACTGGCACGCACGCCGGCGTAGTGCCGCCCGACAGCAGATGCCCCCAGCAGACAGCGTGTCCTCTTTCAATGTGTCCCTCAGCCATGCTGGCCCGAGCGGGTTGGCCGCTGGGGATCCGCTGCCAGTGATTTCGATCTCCAAATATTCGGCAGCGTGACAGACCGACGACAACGTTCGAAGTTTCTCTCAAACCGAGAGAATCACGCTGCGCGTCGTGCTTTCTATTGGTTTTCAAAAATCTCTCTTTCATCTGACAACATGCAACTCCAAACAAAACTGGGACCACAGACCCACACGCCACACACACGCGTAGCGTATATCCGTGAGGCTTGGGCTCAACCCGGTTTGCCTCTCGCACCCCGTCTGTTTTCCTTTACAACACCCTCTCTTTTCCTCTCTTTTCCTCTCTAGGAAAACTGCGTGGAAATCGTCAAATTTTTGGCTCTGAGCCGAGTCTGAGGCTGGTTTGGGCCCAAAATCAGCCAAATTTTAGGCCAAATCGACAAAATGCCGGGAATTTCGCGGAGAACCCGTGTATACCTCATACCTGGAAATTACCCTGCGACCGCCTGGGTATTTTGTCGATTTCCTCAATTTTGCCTCAGATTTTGCCCCAGACCAGCTCTCAGACTCAGGGAAACTCGCGAGTTTCCAGAATGGAGCACCAAACACCCTCTGTTTTCCCTGGAAATTTCCGGAAACGCAAAGTGCTGTGGGTCGAAGGGCGTTCCCGCACACCCATGGATTTTCTGCCATGCCATGGTAGGTGCAATGGAAGCACTCGACAAGTCCATGGAGGCATTGGGGGCAAAGCGAGGAGGGCAACGGCTTTCGGTGGCCAGTGTCGATCGGTTCGCAAACATCGGACAAAGGAGTTAGCTCGGCATAGTGCTCCCTCACGACTGGACTGACGAAGTTGAGAAACCTCCGAAGGAAGTCGCGATAGATGCTGACGCAAACGATTGCATACGGGCACCCAAAGGAGATGGTGGTGGTAATAGGTGTCCAAATGAAGCAAACAGTTTTGACAGTAGTGCTGGTGATGACCTCAAAGGCGACGAGGCATGCATACCTGGCGAAGTATAGGAGGGATCGCACGAAATCGTAGATTGCAAAGCCCCAAGCAACGAGCAGGATGATGCCGCATATCGCAAGTGCAGCTGGCGCAAGGCAAAAATACCAGTCAAAGACCCACTTGATTTGAATACCCAGGTTGATGATCAGTAGCTTGGTATTTGCACCATAGTGTCGCAATCCGTACCACGCTTTGACAATCATAAGGCTGCTCATGGTCTGGTAAGCAAACAGGTCGCCAATTGTCAGTGCACTTGTCAGCAGGGAGTACGCAAGGAAAAGGAACCCAACGAGAGCAAAGCAAAGAAAAAATGGCCAGATCATTCCCATCCATGTGGACTGTACCCGAGCGCAATTCTTGTTTGAGAACATATAGTTCCAATGGAGCTCGTATTTGACCCAATCGCGCTTGCCGCGTCGCCGAAAGTGATCAAGGCAAAGGGCTTTCGCAGCATCGGTGGTTCCATGGAGTGGCCAGATGATACCACATGTCCCATTGTTGAAGGGCACTACCTCTGTCCCACTGCTCAAGGTCTCATGGTGCAATGCCTCTCCTGCACTCGGCGTGTCCGAGTGGTCCCGGGGAAGGACTTTCTGCCAAGGTGTAGGGTCAAATGTAGCGTTCCACGGTGAAACATTTTGGGGGCAAAGGAAGCCGTTCCCGTCGCATTGACCCAGAAGAATGGGCAGCATTGAGTAATCCAGCAAAGGTGGCGGCGGCATGTGTGTCGCAGGCTTCCTATGGGGCTGGGTTGTCGCAGGAAGAGTCCCGTGCCTCATGAATTGTAGCGCCATCGTATTGGGCCATGAGTGCACCTGTATCGCGGGGCTGCGGAGGGCCAAAAATTCAGATTGGCCGCAGTGGGTGGATAAGGCCTCAGGAGCCGACTGTAGCGCGTGCTCCATCGCCTGGGAGGTAGTGTGAGTGGAGGCACACATGTCCTCAAGGTGTTCTGACCCAAGTTGCCAATTTATCGATAAATCTTTGAGAAATGAATTTTCGATGCAAATGGCGGGCTCGAACGTGCTCGACGAGACCGACTGGACCCATTGTTCAGATCCTTCGGCTCGATTGGGGTTGTGCTCGCACACGCCAGGCGCCCAGAGCACTGCGACTCATCGGGCTCTTTTCACATCACGCGTTGGGTTCTTTTGCCGACCCTTGTGCTCCGGCAGCACACATTTAGCGCTGTGGGGGGGACAGCGCGATCTAGCTCGAGTTCTGTTTAGCTCACGCGTGGGCGCAGTAAGGTGATAAGCGATTTTCGCCCGCTCCTCCGAGAGTAGCCGCTGCGACACCGCCAGGTTGCGCTCGACGAGGTTGACGTCGGACAGCTTGCGCTGCGTCGCCTTGCGCCGCGCACTGAGCTCTGTGACGCGCCGCGTGCTCGCCTGCAGCTGCTCGAGCAGCCCCGAGACGCGCATCGAGCGCAGCGCGTCGCGCTGGTCCCAGGGCTATAAAAACCTCGAAAAATGTGCACTGCGTGCTGTCGCCCATTGCTTCTAGCCGCAGCGGACGTGCTCACGTGCAGGAGGCCATC